GGCGGGGGACGGCGCGCGGCCGCCACTGCGCCGTCGGTCGTGTGGTGTCACCCAAGCCTGCCCGGAAGATTTATTTTCAGAACCGTCCCTTTGTCACACTCCTCCTCCTTTCTAGCTCTTACATAGCGGCTGAACTTGGCTTTGGGAAGAGCTGCCACTGATCCCTCCCGCCTCTGCTTCCACTCGCAGGATCATTGTCCACTCCCGGGCACGCCGCTCCAAGGCCTGCCCCGCCTCTCACCTCTTCGCACCCCTCTCTGCCTTTGTAAAGGTCCTTTTACGCATGTCTTTCCCACCCAGCGGAGGCCCATCAGTGAGGAACTCTTGAGACCTGTGCCATGAAAGCGTGTGGGTTCGTCTTCAGGGAATACTTATCCCTCTCGTTGCTCTGGATGCTTGCGGAATTTATTTTTAATTACCTTCTCCCCACCTCATTGAAGCTTGGAATTACATCGCTGGAAGGGATCTTACAGGCGAGTCCCAATCCCCCTCCCCCATTATTTTTATTGTCCTTATTTTGCAAATAAGGAAACCAAGGCTTACCAAAGATCACATAGCTTGTAGATAGCAGAAACAAAGACTTGAACGCAAACCTAATCTGGCCTAAGCATCTGCGTGTCTCACTACTACACCACGCTGCTCCCAGGTGATTGGTCTTCATGAAGGGAGTCAGTTCTGAACTAGAGTCTCAGCTCCTGACAGCCACTGCAATGCCCCAGCCCTGCCGTTAGATGTTACCCTAAGCAAGTTTCCTAATGTCTTAAGCCTTTATTTCCACAAATGTAAAAATGGGAGAAAGATGAAAATGTGATGATTGCACAACTCTGTGACTACTAAAAACAATTTGAATTATTTGCTTTAAATGGGAAAATTGTATGGTATGTGGATTATATCTCAATAAAACTATTAGGAAAAAATCATAAGAAATATGTTTCCTCTTCAGTTTAGTCTTTTTTTTTTTTTTTTTTAATATATCTTTATCGATTTCAGAGAGAGGAAGGGAGAAGGAGAGAGAGAGAAANAGAGAGGAAGGGAGAGGGAGAGAGAGAGAAATACCAATGATGAGAGTCATTGGTTGGCTGCCTCCTGCACGCCCCCTACTGAGGATTGAGCCTGAAACCCAGGCATGTGCCTTGACCGGGAATTGAACTGTGCTCTCCTAGTTCATGGGTTGACATTCAACCACTGAACCATGCCGGCAGCGCCAGTGTAGTCTTTTTTTTAATAGTTCATTGATTTTAGAGAGAATGGAAGGGAGAGGAATAGAGAGAGAAACATCAGTGTGGGAGAGCAACATCCATCAGTTGCCTCCTGCAAAGCCATTAATGGGGAATCAAACCAGCGACCTCCTGGTGCACAAGAGGACACCCAACGAACTGAGCCACACCCACCAGGGCTTCAGTGTAGCCTTGATATATGAATAGGAGTAGCATAAAATTTCAAAGTCACAGTAGTAGGCAGAAAAATGCCCCCTCCCACCCCTGTGTCCACGTCTTAATCCCCAGAATTTGTGAATATGTTACCTTACATGGCAAAAGGGACACTGCAGATGTAATAAATTAAGGATCTTGAGCTGGGGAGATTATCTTGAATTGTCTGGGTGGGCCCAATGGAATCACAAGGGTTTTTATAAGGAAAAGAGGGAGACGGGAGAGTCAGAAAAGGAGATGTGATGAAGGAAGCAGGGGGAGGGGGACATGAAAGAAAGATTGGAAAATGTTACTGCTGGCTTTGAAGATGGAGGAAAAGGTCATGAGCTAAGCCAAATAATACAGGAGGTTTCTAGAAGCTGGAAAAGACAAGGAATTGGGCCCTCCCCCACCCTGCAGAATTTCCAGAAGGATGAATGCAGTTCTTAATGTTAGCCCAGTAAGACATTTCAAATTTCCAGAACTATCAGATAATAAGTCTGTGTTGTTCTAAGCTACTAAATTTGTTGTAATTTGTTACAGTAGTGATAGCAATAAGAAACAGATATATATTTTTAAATAGTAAACATTTAATTGATTCCATCAGCAACTCCAGCACAAGTTTTCCTGAAAGGAAGGCAGAATCAAGCTACCCAGAGGTTTATGAGGTGTGGGTGGGGCGAAGGGGGTCAAAACAAATACATTCAACTAGAAAGCAAAAGATCTGGGATTATGAACTCAGGTCTGTCTGTTTCCAAAGACTGTGTTCTCTTTCCACTACCTTCTACTCCAAACAGGACTAGCACACTCACACAGCCTGCTCCTTTCACCCTTCTCTGTGCAGTACCCCAGGCTGCCTCTAGAGGAGGCACAGAAATTTTCACATGGATTTTCCCCCAACATATATATATGTTTTTATTGATTTCAGAGAGGAAGGGAGAGGGAGAAATAGAAACATCAATAATGAGAGAGAGCCATTGACCAGCTGCCTCCTGCACACCCACTATTGGGGATCAAGCCTGCAACCCAGGCATGTGCCCTGACTGGAAATTGAACCATGATCTCCTGGTTCATGGGTCAACACTCAACCACTGCACCACGCCAGCTGGGCCCCCAACATATTTTTTCTTTTGGCTTTCAAACTTTTTAAAAAATTTTAAAAGATATATGACATAATATTTACCATTTTGACTATTTTAAGTGTACAATTAATTGCCATTAAATAACCACCACCATCTATTTCCAGAAAATTTTCATCATTTCAAACAGAAACTTTGTATCGAATTAGACAATAACTTTCCAATCCTTTCTCCTCTCAGCCCTGATACCCCCAACATTTTATTCTGAAAATATTCCAACATACACAGAAAGATTGGAAGACCTTTACAGTGAACACCCATTAACCTACCACCAAGATTCTACAATTAATATTTTGCTGTATTTGTTCTATCATATGTCTAACAATTTATCCATCCCTCCAGTTATCAATACATTTTTTGTTATGCATTTCAAAGGTGTAAACAACAGTACATTTCACATATAAACACTTCAACACTCATAGCATTAATTAGAGTTTATGCTTATCTTTTAATGTAAGCTTTACATACAGTGAAATGCATAAATCTTAGGCGAATTGTGAGAGGGGTTTTGGCAGATGAATATATCTGAGTCCCAAACCCTTATCAGGATATAGAACTGTGCTGTTCAATAGGGTAGCCACATGCGGCTAATTTTAAATTTAAGGTAATTAAGACTGAATGAAGTTAAAAATGCAGTTTTTATTTACATTGGCCACACTTCAAGAGCTCGACAGCCGCACGTGGCTAGTGGCTACCCTGTTGAACAGCACAGACACAGGACGTTTCCTCCACTGCACAAAGTTGTAAGAACATTACCATCATCTAGAAAGTTCCTTCATGCCCCTTTGCAGTCAATTTCTACCCTCAGTCCTCAGGCAAACCCTGCTCTGATTTTGTTTTAGATTATTTTAGCTTTTCTAGATCTTCTTATAAATGGAATGAATACAATATCTATTCTTGTGTGTATAGGTTTCTTTCACTCAGCATAATAACTTTGAGATCCACGCATGTTGCTGCGCGGGTCACTTGGTGGTTCCTTTTTGATGCTGCATAGTATTCCATTGTGTGGATATAGTAGTTTACCCAATTTCCCGTTGATGGATATTTGGGTTTTCTGTGGATTTGTGCTTTCTTTTGAATAAATACCTAGGTAAGAAATTGCTGGGTCATAGAATAGTTTATACTTAGTTTCATATGAAACTGCCAGAGCTTTTCAAAAGTGGTTACATGCCCACTCAGGTTTTTTTTTTTTAGGAGCAGCGGCAGTGAGTCCTTGTAGGGGAAGGAATCGAACGAGTAACTGGAAGCTGACTCGCGGTGAAGTAACGGTCCTCGGGCTCCGAGCTCCTCCCCGCCCCGCGCGCAGCCGGTGGAGTCCTGATTGGCCGGCGGAGGAGGGGGCGGGGCCAGAGGGACTGCTCAGGCCGGGGCGGACTTCCTCCTGGGCTTCGGCAGCCTCGGCATCCGCGCGGTTCTCCGCTCGCCGCTGCCTTTGTAGGGTCAGCGGCGAGCGCGGCGCGGCGCTGTCCCCGGATCCCCTCGCCGGGCCGGAAACCTGGCTGTGACGCAAGCTTTCAGGAGCAACGGGATTTTCTTCGTGACTACATTTCCTTTTCTAGAACTCTTTCCTGATGTCTCTTTTGC